ATATATGTACAAGAAAATAACAATAACAGCTAAACATGTACTATTGGGAGGGGGACATGCTAAAAGGGCACAAGATGTAAGAGATATAACGGAAATGATAACCCGAACAGGCAACATGCTTTTAACCAGTGAAAACAACTAAACACAATGAATAAAATTGCACGGCATCACCCTTCATGCTTTTACTCTCAACCTCACAATGAAACAATAATACTGCACGACATTACCCTTCGTGCTTTTTCTCTTAGCCTCACAATATAAATCAATAGATAAGGCACGACATCACCCTTCGTGCATTAACTCTCATAATATGGCACAACATTACCCTTCGTGCATTAACACTCACAATATGGCACGACATCACCCTTCGTGCATTAACACTCACAATATGGCACGACATCACCCTTCGTGCATTAACACTCACAATATGGCACGACATTACCCTTCGTGCATTAACACTCACAATATGGCACGACATCACCCTTCGTGCATTAACACTCACAATATGGCACGGCATCACCCTTCGTGCATTAACACTCTCCCTTACCACATAATAATAATAGCAGGGAGATAGAATCAACAAGAACAAGACTTACTTCAACAATGGTTCCACAATACCAATCTCAACTTTGGAATCAATACTCAATTATCACAAAGGCCCGTAAACACGATAAGAATGATTAATTTAGTAAGTAACTAGTCTAAGCATGGATAACAAGATCAAAGTAAGTAATAAACTACAAGGAATAAGTCCCCACCCGCATGCTTTAACCCGACAACAACGCATAAGTACTCGTCACCTCACATATACGTTGTACCTAATATCTAAACATGTATCAAATAGACAAACAAGTCCTAATCCCTCAAGTCAAGGTTAACCACGACACTTACCTCCCTCCCAAGGTCTACTTCAAAGCTCAATCACAACTTTGCCTTTCAAACAAGTCTTTGAACCAATAAAATCTATAAAATTACCAACCAATCGATTCAAATTAAGCCTTATGAACTACCTACGATTGCAAAGGATTCAATTTAGGTCATTATTGAAAAAGTCAACAAAAGTGAACTCCCGGGCCCGCTTGGTCCAAACCCGAAATTCGGACCAAAATCCGATTACCCATTTACCCCCGAGCCCGGTTATATAATTTATTTTGGAATCCAACCTCAATTTGAGGTCTAAATCCCCATTTTACAAAAATCTCTAATTCTACCCCAAACCCCCAATTTCCACCATGAAAACACAAGATTTTTAGTTAAAATCTTAGGAAATGTAGTGAAAGATTGAAATAAACTAGTTTAGAATTACTTACCAATGATTTGGGGAAGAAAGGTTCTTCGAAAAATCGGCTATAGGGTTTCTTGTTTTGAAAATTTGAGAGAATGAACCAAAATCCCGTCTAAGTCCATTTTGATCAATTGCAGATGTCGCATTTGCGACCTGGGGTTCACAAATGCGAACCCTGCAAATGCGAAGAATCAATTCGCAAAAGCGAAGTCCTCCCATCTCTGCTTTCATCGCATTTGCGATGGCTTGTTCGCAAATGCGAACATTGATCTTCTGCATTTGCAATCAAATTGATTGCAAATGCGACCAAGCCTGCCCCACTTCGCAAATGCGAACTCTGGCCTCCCCGCAATTGCGACCTCTTGATCGCAAATGCAAACTCATGCTGAGTCAGGTACTCTTCGCAAATGCGAAGAATTTGCTTGCAAATGCAAGCCTGTCAGGATTGGGGAATGTTCGCAAATGCGAACACTGATCTCGCAATTGTGAGATCAGACACCAGTTACCAGAGATTGCAGAACCAATTGAGTTTTCTAAGTCCAAATCACTCCGTAGCCTATCCGAAACTCACCCAAGCCCTCGGAGCTCCAAACCAAACTTGCACACAAGTCTAAAAATATCATACGAACTTGCTCGCGCGATCAAATCTCCAAAATAACACCTAGAACTATGAATTTAGCATCAAATCAAAGGAAATTTTCAAGAAAACTCATGAACTTCTAATTTCACAATCGGACGTCCGAATCACGTCAAACCAACTCCGTTTCTCACCAAATTCGACAGACAAGTCATAAATATAGTATTGGACCTGTACCGAGTTCTGAAACCAAAATATGGACCCGATATCTAAAATGTCAGACATTGGTCAAACATTTCAAAGTCATTAAGCCTTTAACTTTCAAATTTTAACAAAGTGTGATAACTCGAGTTAGGGACTTACGAATTCGATTCCGGGCATACGCCCAAGTCCCAAATCACGATACGGATCCACGTGACCGTCAAAATATGAATCCGGGTCCGTTTGCTCAAAATATTGACCAAAGTCAACTCAAATGGATTTTAAGGCAAAAATTTCATATTTTTTCAGTTTTTAACATAAAAGCTTTCCGAAAAAATACTCGGACTGTACACGTAAATCGAGAAAGGTTAGAACAAGGTAATTAAGGCTTCATAGTGCAGAATTAGGTTCTAAAACATAAGATGACCTACCGGGTCATCACAGTGGAAACCAAGGAATGAAGATCGACCTCGAGTCCCACCGAGCTAGGACCCGAGGTCGGAACGCCTGCCTTCGACTAGCGGTGAGTCCGATGTCGACCTTAGCCTCGAACGAGCTTGGAGAGACATTGTTGAGATAACTAACAAAAGACTGAAATATCCGTGACCGGTCGGATATTGCGGCAGGAATCTCGGGATGTATCAATAAGGAACCGGCAATCAGCAAATTAAGAGATTTTTTTACCTTCTATAGAATTGTACCTAAAGTAGGACTCCTCTACTATATAAATGTGGTGTGATAATTCATTGAACACATTGTAACATACATCCCAAAGTAATATATTGTTATTTTTAGTTCTTATTATTATCTGATCATTCTGTTCTAATATCGATAAAAACACTTTTGGCTCGAGGGCGGCTAACCTTCTAAGGCTCAGACTGTTCAACTTGTGCGGTTTGCATTTACTTTCCCATTGTTTATTTCAATTTTAATCTGATTTATCATTTTATATCAAGTTAGATCATGTATCCTTAAAACCATGTACAAATTTAATTGTTATCCGATTTTGAGGGTAAACAATAATGTAATTTAATCAATTATAACAGTTTAGTTATTCTATTTTTATTATATTATCAATTATTAATATTTATTTTATCTTATAAGCGACATAATTATATAAAATATTTTTACATTAGTCATAAGTTAGAAAATGATAAACGATCCTCAAGATGCCGCTTAGCGCTGCATTATTGACATAAAGATTGCCGACACAAAAATTCAATGGCAAGAGTCCTATTAATGCATCGTGCCTTACACGACTAATTCTTCTTCTACGTTCAAGGTTGCATCACTGAATAGTACAGAATGGACTACTACCGCCAAATAAATAAATAAATTTAATAACAGAAAAACGCCGTTTAGTTTTTACGTCATTTGTTGGGGGTGCCGAAAAATTGAATTAGGCCGACTTAGTTTTCGTTTGATATAGTTTTATATTGAACATAAAACAAACAAATGACATATAAATATATTTATTCTTATAAATAATTTTTTAAAAATTTATTCTAGACATATTCATGATCCTTACTTGAAACATAATGCTCTATTTAATATGACTATTATATTGGATTATTTTTTCTTTATTAATATGTTTAATTCTGACATGTATGGTCACTTGACTCTTAGCAAGTGTTGTTTAAATACTTTACTCTAATTGTTCTTTTGTATTTGCAAGCCAAAATTTATTAATCCTCGTATAGCTTTTCCAATTTTGAGTACTATATTATAGACCTTCCTAAATTCGAAACATAAGACAGAGAAGGAATAAAAATATTGATTCTTCTTCCCGTCCTTAACCTATGTTTAAGTTTCATACTGAGTTCCCGTCTATATTAAAAAAAATATACTCCGTAGTTATTTTATTTATTCTTTACAATTATTAAAATGTGGTCTAGGCTTGAAAGAGTACATGAATATTTTACTGTGGAGAGATTTTTTCACGTTAAAATATTTCAATAGATCATAAATTAAATAGTCAATTCTCTCAAATTTTGCTACACATGCATTTACTTATGAAAAGTTTATCCATACTTTTAGTAGACTGCAACTATATTTACGTGGCAAGATTTTTTAAAAAGAAAATTAACAGAAACAAAGAGGTCGAACAAATCGAGTTATGAGCACCCCATCAATTGAAAAGTAAATACAGAGTATAGGCATTCGAGAAAGAAAAAGAATAATAATTAACATATACTCGATGTACGTAGAATATAGTATGCTTTGCCAATCATTTTCTTAGCTTAGTGCCTCGTATTATTCAGATCCACATGAAAAAAGCGAAAAAGTGAGCATCTCTTATTAATCATCTTAAAATACAACTCCAAGTAAGCAACCCTACTACGCACTCCGTTCAAGTTTATTATAACTCGTTCCAAAATGAATGATCATAAATTTTAAATTTTTTTATTTTTTCTTAAATTCCGTGCTCAATCAAATAAATAAATTAGAATGAAAAAAATAATAAAAAGGTTAATAGGCCCATCTGAAGCAAAGCTTACTAATTGTGTTACTATTATCGCAGAGACTATAGTAGCCAAGTTGTTGGCTTGTTGCAAACAGCAGAGACTATACTGATTTAACAATTTTTTAAAATGTATATTTATAGTAATACCTACTGTCACAAAATTTTAAAAACTGCATTTGGATATTTATTAAACTCCATCTATGAAATTTTCATATTATAAAAAAAATTAAAGCGATCATAATATACTCCATCCCATAATTTTAGGACAAGCTCATAATTTAGCTTCCATTTAACCACACCATCAGCAACCTGATGCTACACACTCTCTCTCCAGCTCAGCATATTCTCTATCTTAGATTTTCACTCAGCATTTTTTCTCTCTAGCCCACACGGTTTTGACTCAAAATATACACGTTATTTCAATTTTATTCTCTCACTTTTTTTTTAACTCACTAATTCGAGTCACTCTTTTATTTTCTCAGCTGAAAAATTGAATTAGTATTAATAATAATAACAATAATCAATTTTAGAAAGGAAGAACACAGGCAACACAATACACGTACTCTTTCTCTCTCACGCTTTTCCTTTTTCTTTTTTTCCTCTCTCTACATTCAATCTTCCGATCTCAGGAAGAGAATACCAAATCCTCTTTCAACGTTACAACAATTTCCCAAATTTGTTTTAAATTTATTCCATTCGATTGATTAATTGATTCATACAACAAAAAAATCAATAGATACATACCTTAACATATCCAGATTCATTGCACGCACATTCATACACACACATTTGTGTAGTTTTGTGGGAGTTTGGGTGCAGAGCTGAAATTTTGATAATATCCAAATGCATTGGTCTCGGAAGAGACCAGTTTCGATATCATTTGATTGCTGTGTTGTTGGATCTGATGGTGAGAAAAAGAATTTTTTATTTAGATTGTTTAAGAATTTCCAAAGAGAATAATATTAAAAATATTAATCCAACAAGCCCTAGGGGGGGTGGAGTTGTGGTGGATTGGAATTGGGATTGGGTAGTGAGGGGTGCAGAGAAAGTTACGGTGGAGAAGCAGGGAGGGAGGAAGAGATGCAGCTGCACTTCTCACCTAGTATGAGAAGTATAACAATATCGAGCAGCAGCAATAGTGGAAATGGAGGGTATGTTGGGGATTTGATGAAGATCAAGGTCGCAGCTCGCCACTTCTCCTACCGAACACTTTTTCATACCATTCTTATCTTAGATTTCTTGTTGCCCTTTGTCTTCATTCTCACTGCTCTTGTTACCCTTGAAGGTGTCAACAAGTGCTCCTCTTTTGGTACGTTTTTTCCTCTCTCCCTTTATTTTCATTTAATTATTAATCTATAAGATACTTCCCGGATCCTAATGTGTTTCTATGCAATTACTTAATTCTTTTGCTTAATGTTGCAATGTTGGTGGTTTGTTTTGCGGAATATTATTGGGTATCATAGGTGTTGTTTGAGTTGAGTTGGAAATTATTGTTTTTCACTCTAATTAGAAATGCTGTTGTAGCTGTATTTATCTTAAGATTGTGTGGGATTAGGGGAAAATTAAGGCTGAACTTACTTTTCTTTCATTAACTTGCCCAAGGATTTGAATTTGATGACAAATACTCCTCAAAAAGGAAAGAAGGGATAGAGGGATACATGATTTTGCAATCCTTACATATTCTTTTAATTTTACTCTACACTTTTCCACCATTCATATTAAAGAGCCGTTTATGCATTTTTTGTCCACATTAGGAAGCAAAGTGTGGATTCTGTCCGAATTGTAAGTGCATGGTGTTTTTGTGGGGAGGGGGCAGGGGGATGAAATTGCTTAGCGTTATTTGTAGTAATTTGCACGTATGGTAATTAGTAAGTGCTTCTCATTTATGTAGCTTACTACTATTTATCTTAAGTATGTAACCAATGCGTATGCTCGAGTCTGGTTAACGTTTGTTTCTTATGCATGTAGCATTAAGCTATCCTGAATAACAAGTTCCTGTTGGATCACGTGTTATGATCACATCTGTTAGTTGTTATTGGATGCCTTCTAATGTTATTTTTTTGTTCCGTGGGATGAAAAAGGAAGGCGGGACCTTTTTCGATTTGTGGGTGGGGGAATTTTTGAAGTACCAGTGTGCCAAGAACCCTGTTTGGTAGTGTTGGTCTTGGTTATGATGCTCCTAGTTAATGTTTCCTTTTGTCACCCAATCTTACTTCAAATATTGTTGCTTATGACTTATGAGGGTTCCCTTCCAATATTTTTTATCCCTCCATTTTTCTTGCAAAATATCATTTCATTTTCTTCTCCTTGGTATTCAGATTGTTTAGGTAGACGATTAGGACCAAAGCTTCTTGGACGAACTGATGATTCAGGGGTGAGTAAATTTCATTCTACATTGTTTGTTGCTGTTGTTGTATTCCAATCTGTTGCTAAGTTTTTACGTGGAATTCTGTTTCTTAACCCAACTCTATGTCATTGCTTCTCTGTTGCTCTTTAAGCAGAGGCTGGTCAAGGATTTTGTTAAGATCCTCAATCAAGTGAACTCTGAGGAAGTGCCTACTGGCTTGAAGCTCCCAGAGTCATTTAATCAACTTGTTGTTGAAATGAAAAACAACAAGTACAGCGCAAAAGAATTTGCTTTGATGCTAAAGGGAATGGTATGTACACGTAACTCTTCTCTAGCTTTCTTTCAAGATATATTTACTTGGTGTGTGCATGTCCAGTAGCCTTATTTTGCTCTTGCCTTCCTGTTGGGCATTCTACACTCGGGCCAGGGATTAGGTTGAGTTACTTCCTGACCCCCACTTTGGTTTTTAGTGTGCACAGGCGCAGAAAGATATAGTCCTTCTCAGCTCAACTTTGTGTTGAATTTGTTATTTTGCAGATGGAGAAATCTGAAAAGGATATTAAGGAATCAAAATTTGCAGAGCTGATGAATAAACACTTTGCTGCAAGTGCAATTCCTAAAGGCATTCACTGTCTTTCACTGCGGTTGACTGATGAGTACTCCTCAAATGCTCATGCACGCAGACAGTTGCCGTCACCAGAGCTACTCCCTCTGCTATCTGACAATTCATTGCATCACCTTGTAGTGTCCACTGATAACATCTTGGCTGCCTCAGTTGTTGTCAATTCTGCTCTGCAGTCATCTCTGAAGCCTGAAAAGATTGTTTTCCATGTTATCACTGATAAGAAAACATATGCTGGCATGCACTCATGGTTTGCTTTGAATCCTGTCACTCCTGCTCTTGTGGAGGTTAAAGGTGTTCATCAGTTTGACTGGTTGACAAGAGAAAATGTTCCAGTGCTTGAAGCAGTTGAGAGCCATCATGGTATTCGGAAATACTACCATGGAAATCATGTTACGGGTGCCAATCTCAGTGACACAACTCCGCGGTCTTTTGCCTCCAAATTGCAGTCTCGAAGTCCAAAGTATATATCTTTGCTCAATCATCTTCGCATATATTTGCCAGAGGTACCTCTTTCTCATGTCCTGTAAACTTTCTTCTGTTTCTCTTAAGTATGTTTTTGAGGGTGCAATTCCAATGTCTTTTCTACTTCCATTCCTCTCTCACAGGCACATGGACATTCTTGTACTCTATTGAAGTAATGCCTGGCGAGAAAAAGTTTCCAATATATAAATAGAGTCAATCAGTAGGCTTAAGCATGTGAATGAGAAACTTTGGATAGCTTAAGGAACATGCACAAGGCCTGGTTTAGTGAATGTTCTTTGCATTATTGTTCTAAACCTAAAATAAGTTGATCAAATTTCTCTTGACACAAAGTTTAGCCAATTTTATATGACATCGAGACTTCTTGCTTAAAATGTTGTGTAGACATATATATAAGCAGAGCCTATAGGTTTGACTGTTCCAATGCTTATGCAGATAGTATTTTTTCATTTTGCTAAGCCTAAGATTTTTTTTTCCGCTCCAGAGATCATTTGCTTTACACATACATGCCCATAAAATGGAATAGCCAACTCTTCTTTGTGACTGTCCTGAACCACATTGGCCAGTCAAAGTTCCAATATCATCTTTCCATCCAAGACGAGACCTTAGCACCCCAGATTCTTATATAGTTCTCTAATTACTCATTATGGAGAGTGAAGCACAGTTTTAATCAGATTTTGCTTTTGTTATTATCTTCTTCTTGTTCTGATAAAATTGAAAATGTCTTTGCCAATACTCCGAGTTTGGCATCCCCAAGCACTTCTTTCTTTTCAGTAAGAATTTTATGCAGCAATACTTTTCGGTTTCCTTTTCTTTACTCCCAACAATACTTGGAGCAACGGACCTATAGGCCACGGGTTCGAGCCATGGAACTAGCCGTTGATGCTTGTATCAAGGTAGGCTGCCTGCTCCTTGGGGTGCGGCTCTTCTCCGGACCCTGCATGGATGCGGGATGCTTTGTCACTGGACTGCGTTTTTTTGTTTGTAGTTTTCCCCTTTAGATCTTACATGTAATTCGCTCCCCGGTCCTGCATTTGTGTGGATATCCACTCACTTTTCAAATAGCAATGTGAGATTTCTCTGGTGTTGTACTTTGCAGCTCTTCCCAAACCTTGACAAAGTGGTTTTCTTAGATGATGATGTTGTAATTCAGCGAGATTTATCTCCCTTGTGGGACATTGACCTTCATGGTAAGGTCAACGGAGCAGTTGAGACTTGTAAAGGTGAAGATAAGTGGGTGATGTCTAAGCGATTCAGAAATTACTTCAATTTTTCTCATCCTCTAATAGCAAAGCATTTGAACCCGGATGACTGTGCATGGGCTTATGGGATGAATATCTTCGATTTGCGTGCATGGAGAAAGAAGAACATCACGGATACTTATCATGCATGGCTTAAAGAGGTATGCAGATCTCTTATGCTTTGTGATTTAAAAGAAGAATCTTTAGTTATAAATAAATAAAAAAGAATCTTCGGTCATCTGAGTTCCAGCATCGATGTGATTAGATTTTTGATCTTGCTAGAGTGTTGTAATTCTTCTGTCAATCCTGTTTGTGTCTGTCTCTTAGTTGTCCACTTTGTTGCTCATATAGCCTTTTCTACTGACATGTTTGTCTAGGACTGAGTTTGTCTTGAACTTCAGTATTTCTACTACTTAGTTTTATGTAATTACGTTGCTACTTTTATTTCCGGTTTGTGACATAAAAATATAGTGATTAAGGATTTGAAGTCCTACATTTTTTAGGTCAAAGGGTCTTCATTTGCTATTGCTGTTCTAATTATTAAAGATTTGATCTCATCAAATATCTCTAGATTCTGAGTAGATATTGTTAAACTTTTAATCATTGTAGAATCTGAAGTCAAACTTGACAATGTGGAAGCTTGGAACGCTACCTCCTGCTTTGATTGCATTCAAGGGTCATGTTCACCCAATTGAACTCTCGTGGCACATGCTTGGCTTGGGCTATCAGAAGAAGACCAATGTCAATAATGTGAAGAAGGCTGCCGTAATCCATTACAATGGCCAGGCTAAACCTTGGCTTGAGATAGGCTTTGAGCATCTCCGTCCTTTTTGGACCAAGTTCGTTAACAGCTCCAACGATTTTATCAGGAATTGCCACATATTGGAGTAGTCAATGGTTTCAAGGACAACACAGGAGAATTTTAAAAGCCACAGGCTTTGCAAACTTTCTTTGGTGCTAGGGAACTTCAAATCCAGATGACAAGGAGATTCTGACACTTGGCTAATTGCCCGGATATATTCAGGTTTTCAGATTTGCTGCTTTGAGTCCTACAAAAGAGAACTTGCATCTCTAGCATGGGCATGAGATTCATTCTTTCAGTCTGTAAAATAGAAGTTGGTCGCCTAATAATATTGGTTGGACAAAGGACAGTATTTTTGGCCTCTTATCTGGGGTGTAGCCTACCCTTTATTATATTATAGCTTAAGAGGCAATGACGGGGCGTCCAGGAAAATGCTTATTATTGCCATCAGTGATGCATGTTGGTGCATTGGAAGAAGAAAAGCTAGGCGCTGACCCTGTTTAGAGGCTCCCGCATTGCCCCCATTTAGCCATAGAGATGATTCTTTTAACCTATAAATTTCATTTTCCCTTGTTAGTTTTGCTGTCATTACTCCACGTTTCTACCGTTTTCTTGATTCAATCATCTTGGTCATATTAGACTGTAGGCTATGGAAATTTGGTTCATATAGTTGGGAAACTCCCTTGGTTATTATTTATGTACTTGTTTTGTATGATTCATGAATCATGATATACAATTGATATGTGCAGATTCTTTTTAAGAAAAGTTTTCTACTCTTTACCTTATTGCTTCTGTTAACGTGGGTTGGCAACTTGGCATGTCTTGGGGTTTGATATTTCAAGACATTTCAGTTGCATATATGTCCTCAAGGGAGTTGATTGCTAGCTGGTAGTAATCGAAATACAGATTGAGGATCACTATTTTAATTCCGTGCACTAATATTGTGTAGCCTGATTTTTACTGTACTGCTAGTATCATAATTATTTGCTCTATTATTGTATATAACTTTGAATATTCTGTTATTGATCATGTTTGTGTTCGTGAGAGGAATTGTAATACCTGTCAATTCTACTCCAATAAGCAACGCGTTTTGTACACGGATGGAAGAATTCCACCTTGGGGGCGGGGGGGATGTTCTTTTATAATGAATTCTTAAGGTGGGATTAGCTCGTAAACAGTGATAAAGGAAAGATTAGAAAATGAAGGGTATTNGGGGGGGGGGGTTTAATGTACTTATTATGGGTTTGATAAGTAACAGTGAGAATCACTAGGTGGTCAAAGTAGAAATTGATAAATAAATCCTGCCGAGGAAAGTAATATGCTACTTAACACTAATGGTGCATCGTACCAGCCTTGTTTTTGTGTAACTTTCAATATTAAATAAACTAAATTAGATAAGAATCCCTTTAAATGCACTCAAAGGATAAAAAGAAGCAATAAAGATTCCTATGTAAAGAAAGGCTTCAGAAAATAACCAATTTTCATACTCTTGAATTGCCATATTAACTTACCTTTTAAAAACAAAAAGTGAGAATAATTGTACTACTAATAATAAAGAGAAAAATAAAAGGGGGAAAGTTCGAAGAAGAAAAGATGTCGATAATTCCATAGAGTGAGGAAGAGAAGGTGAAGGGAACAAAGAAGAGAGTAACTTCATTGACCGAAGATGTAGAGAGAGAAGAAGACTTTGAAAACTCCGAAACTGCCGATTTTTCTTCATCTCCTCCCTCTTCTTTTCCCCCCCACCACTTTCCTTTCTTTTTTTTCCCTTTAATAATAAAAAATAATACTATTTTATTTTCTTATTTTAAATTCTTAATGCATTACACGTATTACCTACCCTTTCTTTTTCTTCTTACCTAGACTAGTTTTTGTAGCTCCTCTCTTGCCTTGAGAGGAAAATCATATGAAATTAATCTGTTGGTTAAAAAGAGGACAGTTTACAGATCAGTTTTTCCTATCAGTAAGTACAACCATGCATAAATTTTCTTCTTTTTTCCTATTGAAGATCCAATCATTTTTTTGCAGAATTAAAACTTTGATGATTACTTGATGAATCCAGTCTGTAGTTTGAGTAAATATTGTAGCTATTTTCTAGTTTTAAATGCTTATTTGACTTTTGAGGTGCCTAAATTTAGTGATTAATTGGTTAATTTTACCTCACAGTATTGATTATTGAATTTCTTTTGTTGGTTGTATAGCATATTGTTGTTTAAATTCTATTTTGACTCTGTTTTTTCTTCTTCTTGATATTCTAATCTAAGAAGGTTTTATGATTTATTTGATTTTGCTTGCTTTTATGTATATATTGTCAATATTGGCATCTGATAGTCTCTTATGAATTTATATAATTTGTTTTTTCTGAAGATTTAAGGCTGGGATTTGGAAGTTTGATGAGATCCATAGAGTGTCAAGAACCAAAGACTAAATTCTTTGGTCCTGTGAGCTCCTGCAATTGTGTTAATTAAGGCTGAACAGCTTTTAGGAAGATTCCTTATATTGGGGTTTGTTTTGTAATTTGGAACAAGGATGTCTGCAGCTCAAGATCAACTGGAGATCAAGTTTAGATTGATTGATGGAACGGACATTGGTCCGAAGAGTTTTTCTGTGGCTACAAGCGTTGCGACTTTAAAGGAGAACATCCTTGCTCAGTGGCCTAAAGGTTAGTTTAGTCTTTCAATAGCTGTTAATTGTGTGTGAGTTTTTCAATTACCCAAGATTTCTGTTGGATGCTTGATTGCTCTGAGAACCATAATCGTGGTTGTTAAGACTCCAAAATTACTTTGGAGCTTTCAGCTAATTGATGTCAATTGCCTAGATTCTTTTAGTCTATGATCTGTAGTTGTGACTTATGTTGGATATCCAGTTCTGTCGATAGTTCCTTTACTTATGCCTCTATGGAGAAATTTTGTTAGGACTCTGAATGAATTTTTTTTGACACGTTGTTATTCAGATAGTTGAGGCGATTTGCAGCTTCAATCAAACAGTGGCATACTTGCTCTTGAGATTGTTCTAGGCTTCTCTAAAGAGATACTATTAGTTAAGAAAGTTGGCATAATGAACCTCTGGCTAATCAAGCCTTTCAAGTTCAAATTGTCTGAGCATGCCGGTTCTGTTATTCAATTACTGGGTATCCATTTCTTTCATTTAATAACAACCAACATTTTCAAAGCACCAAGTTCCGATGGCAGTATGTTCATTCATATGGTTTAGAATGATCTATTAAATTCGCACTTTGCTAAGTACGTCAAAACCTTGACTGAACTTTATGCTTTGCTCAGTTCAACAGAGCAAGTATAGAGTAAATCCTGTTTCTCAGCTTTAGAGAGGAAGCATTAGGCTGCAATGCAAAAAAGGCAAGAGAGAAATCTAGCAATTTAGAAAATTGAGCAATTTTCTCAAATTGCATTTTATATTTTTAAGATTATCTGCGTAAATGTTGTGCACTTTCTCTGCTGTCAAAGAATATCTGCTATTATCATCTATTCTTGGATGATTTCTTGGTTTCAATCTTGAATTTCAAGTCATGTTTCCCTGAAACGTGTATTGTACTTTTTTTTTAACAGAGAAGGATAATGGTCCGCGGACGGTAAAAGATGTCAAGTTAATCAGTGCTGGAAGAATACTGGAAAATAACAGAACAGTGGGTGAGTGCAGGAGCCCATTATGTGATATTCCAGGAGGAGTTACAACCATGCATGTGGTTGTTCAACCACCAGCTCAAGAGAAAGGTCAGCTAAATTCACTAAACATATCAATAGGCATATACATGAATCGAAACAGAAAGCAGTATACATTGAATTGCCTATAATATGTTTGATTCATTTTGTTTTTTCCTGTCTTTTGCCATTTTCCTTTCTAGGATATGTGCTCTTTTGTTGTCTCGTTGTTTCTGAACTAACGTTTGTTGTTTGAATTCTACCATTGGTTTAACAGAGAAAAAAGCATCAGATGACATGAAGCAGAATAAGTGCCTCTGTGTTATACTATGATATGCAGTTCCAACAGAGGGATGGCTCTATGCAAGGTAGGTGCTAGTTTTTTATGTTTTGTTTTTGTCATTGACAGATATCAAATTCTGTAAACCGACGTTTTGGACCCTCTACTTTCAGATAAAGACTGGTGGTTGTTCATGATACTGAAATTGGTGATTAGTGACAAACATGAGTTGCTGGCAGGGCGTCCATTCTCAAGATCGTGTATGGTCTGGTCTCATTTTCTTTTGTATTTGCTGCTGTTTTTTTTTAAGTGATTGATGGGCGCAAAGTCCATTCTGCATTGATTGAAAATTTGTGTTGCTGTCAAGTATACCATTTCATATCTGTAGGACTCGGTTGTCTGTACAAAATACAAATTAACTCGTTCGTGAAATTCATAAATCTTGAATATCTTCTTACCTTGGTCGATGTAATATAGATACGAAAAAGGATTTGGAATATATTGCATTTGAAATCCAAGGATTTCTCTACTCCAGCATCTGTATTCTCAGCTGTACGCGACTTACTTTTGCAGTTTTTTTTTTTCAAAGACACCTTCCATTTGTTTCTTTTGCTCCCAATTTGGCCCCCACAATCAGCCAGTGGGTCATTTGTCATATTCTCTGGTCGCTGATCTCTATATTGTGGATATTCTTGGACATATGTATGTGCGTATATATAATGGAAGGGGAGTTTGGCGTAACTGGTAAAGTTGTTTCTGGTCACGGGTTTAAGCCGCGGAGACAGCCTCTTGCAGAAATGCAGGGTAAAGCTGCGTACAATAGACCCTTGTGGCTCGCCCTTACAAAGACCCCGCACATAGCGGGATCTTTGTGCACTGGATTGCCTCATATATGGGATCTCAGCTTAAAGCAATGTTAGTGAATTCGTTGAACCTGCTCTTGCTCTAGATTTGTCTCTGGTTATGGTCGTGTTTTGGAAGTCTAGAGTTGTCTAGAGTTGACTACTCTTCGTTCAGAAAATGAACCAAACTTTAGACTTACTACATTCTTGCTATGTATACGTACATCATCATGCAAGAATATTGCAATTTTGGACAGGTAAGAAAGGTCTAAATGAATAGCGTGTAGTTATAAAAAGTTATAATTCAATTCGCAATTAAACTACTCCATTATTCTTGGAGTAGCTACTCCATTATTCTTGGAAATCTTTTGTTTAGAGGAACGTTTAAACGACTCATCCATTCGATAACTTCTTTCTTTATGAAATCAAAATGTGAAAAAGTTTTATTATAAATCTCTAGAACTATCCTAAGTATATGTTGCTTTCTTGTATGAGTCAAAAATTATCCCTGATATGATCAAACCATGTTAACATTAAGGAGGCACTCACAGACTGCCACGTGTCATCAGTACAACTTCAACAAAGATCCGCCCAAGGTCGAAGTGGTTCTTGAAGCGATGAAGGGTGTGGTCGAAGAGTCAGCGAAGATCAAGGTCGAGAAGTCGTCGTAGAGCAAGGTCGAGGTCGAGCATCTTAGACAGAGTTATAAAGACTAGTTTTAGGATAGGACACAAAAGAGAATATTCAAGTGGATATTTTCTATACCTGTACTATTAGGGTTTTTAGGAATATGTTTCCTATAAATAGAAAGAGACATAATGATAGGGGGAGATAAGATATTCACTTGTAAGAAAAGTAGAAAACATATTGACTTTATAGAGAGGAAATCTGGCCATATTGCAAGCATACAAAAATAACCTTTTTACTAAAAATTTTGTAACTTTTCCACTTGATCCAAGAACAACCTAAATGTTCAAAGGCTCA